TTGGACGAGGCGGAGGCCGCGGAGGCTTCAACAAGGGCCAGGACCAAGGACCGCCGGAGCACGTAGTCTGTATGTCGTCCTCGGAGCTCGGCCTCCGCGCGAGAGAGGAGGGCGTGGGTTGTGTTGGCAGCAGTTAGGTGCCACAGCGGGTGCGGGCCGTCTGCGGCGTGCTCCGCCTGACCTGCGGTCGGACTGTAGCCTAAAGGAGATCAAGAAAGCTGGAGGATACAGCAAATGCGTAATGGAGGTGGAACTTGAGGTTGAGCTGAAAGGATGAGATTAATTAGGCAACACTGGGTGCTTGCCCCATTGGACAGGTGAGAAAACCGAGGTTCAGAGTTAAGGTTCTTTGTCAGGGTCATAAAGGCAGAGTGTCTAAGAATGGGTGATCAGTACCCAGCAGGGTCGAAGGGAGGCAGTAACTCAAGTCAAAGTGCCCAGCCCGAAAGCCGTTCTAGCATTGTAGCCATGAGGCAGCGAGGGCCTGACTTAGGATGGGGACGTGAAGAAGTGGAAGGCTTAGACAGGAGAGATTTCAGAGGATACAGATAGCATTCGTCTGATATTGGGAATGAAGTGTAGCTTTTGACCTTGTGTGGAGATGGAGAGGTAGTTTTGCAGGCGTGCATTGAGTATTTTAGTAGAAGTAGTTACTTTGGGATTCTGGACTTCCCTGAAAAACACGGAGGAATCTTTTGCAAAGAGGCAGTAGTAGGGACTGGGGAAGAAGGGGAAAAAGACAGGTGCAAAGGGTGATTCACGGTAGGGGTCGGAGAAAAGATAAAAATGAAGAGAAGGGAATATGGTGTATAATGAAATTTTAGTCGTCATAATAGCATGGCTGTCACAGGTTGGATGGTCTCAGCCTCGTACTCGTGTTCCACTCAGTCACGTTTAAGTAGATGTTACTAATACGTTATATGCTTAAATGTAGACCCGATTCCTGTGTTATTAAGGAAATGAAAGCGGGTAGGGGTGAGTACCTCCCTTTGGGTCACATGGCTAGTGTGTTGTTAGGTTCGCCTGATAGCTCAGGAAGCCCACACTGGTACCTACTTTTCTACCTCAGAGGACAGTTGCAGTGAAACCCAAGGTAGCTAGGAAAAAAGCTTCCAGAGAGGTTGGTTACTATCACCTGAAGTAGTTGCATGTCTTAGTATTTTCTTGTTCTGTTTCAGTATTAGGAGAGTTCCTGCATCCCTGTGAAGACGACATAGTTTGTAAATGTACCACAGATGAAAATAAGGTGCCTTATTTCAATGCTCCAGTTTACTTAGAAAACAAAGAGCAGATTGGAAAAGTGGATGAAATATTTGGACAACTTAGAGATTTTGTATCCTTTGTAATTGGATGACCTAGTAATTTTTTTTTCTTTTTTTTTTTGCTTTTGTTTTTTGAGATAGGGTCTCACTATGTATTTGAGACCCACCTGGAACTCTGTAGCCCAGGCTGGTCTCGAACTCACAGCAGTCCTCCTGCCTCAGTCTCCCGAGTGCTGGGCCACACCCGGCCTTGACCTAGTAAATTAATTGAGAATTTACTGGGTTTTTTTCCCCGTGACAATTAAGTGTAAATTAAACTGCTTGCCTCATTAAAGAAGATAGTGCTGCTACAGATTGGATCATAAGGAGTACTAAGAGGGGAGACTATATTTACCCATATTAAAGTGATAAGTCCTAGAAATATGCCTTTCTTTTGAGAAAGATCTAGAAATTATGGCCGTTTGTGTAAGTGCCACGGGATTGCATTGGCTGCTTTAGGGTATGATTGTGCTGCTTGAGTAGTATGGAAGATTTGGAAATGTTTCTTTTTTCTTTTTTTTTTTTTTTTGGTACTCGGGATCGAACTCAGGATGTACACGGTCACTGAGCTAAACCCCCAGCCCTTGTTTTGTTTTTTGAAAAAAACATTCTTCCTGGACACTCATGATGTGTTACCTTTCCTATATATGCCTGAATATTCCAACCTTGTTTCAGAAATTACATATGGATCCAGGAGGCTTAATTTCTTTCATCTTAATTTTGTATTTGTTCCTTAAAATCAATAGTATTTTTCAGTTAAATTGTCAGAAAACATGAAGGCATCTTCCTTTAAGAAACTACAGAAGGTGAGTCAAGCTTATGATTCTTAGGGTGTTGGGTGTACCTTAGGGCAGTTCTGTCTGGGTTACTTGAGCCTCCCATATTTCATTAGTGAAGCCTTCCTGTCAGCCAGTACCAGGGTTTAACCCCCGTGTCTTCACACTGAGCTATATCCTCAGCCCTTTTTGTTTTCTGTTTTGAGAGAAGGGGTTTAAGTTGCCCAGGCTGGCCTCAAACTTGTGATCCTCCTGCCTCAGCCTCCCACATAGCTGGGATTATAATTGTGTGTCACTGTGCCTCACACTAGTGAAGTTCTTAAACTGAGATTTTTGTATTATAAACACTGGGCTTATTTAAAACTCTTACTGAAAAGATTGTATTAGCAAATACTCGAAAACATACATTATAAAACATTCTTAGAGAAGGTAGATACTAAAGGATTTCACAAGTATTTCAGCATGATAAATCTATGAAGGGAAACGTGGGATGCTGTCAGAGTCTTTATAGTGGGTTCAAGGCTAATCTGTGGGCTTCCCAGAGGTCGTGTTAAGTGCTCTTAATGCTGAGACCTAGGATGGACCAGGATGATTCTAGTGGAAGATTTTAGGAAGACACCTGTTAGGTTCCATTCCAGAAAAGCTGACCCTGTTGCTCTTAAGCAAGGCCCAGGATTCAGTTTCAAAAAGGAAAAACCTTAATTTAAAAAAAAGCACTTGGGAACTGATGGGCTCCAAGGGGATGAGGAGGACTGAGGTGCCGCCGAAAGGAAGATGGAGCCCCCGGGTTTGTTTCTCGTCGAGCTGAGAAACCTCACTTTCTGTTAGCTGCAGGGGTCCTCTTTGACCCTCAGTATGAGATGGTTTCTGTACCTCAACTATTAGAATGTTTAGGGGGGTGAATTTGAGCCTTTATTACAATCGTGCAATACCTGGTGGGCTAATACATTCTTTTGGATTTTAATGCTATCTTAATTGCATTTTTCTTATGGGTGTTGAATGAATCTGTAACATTTTTGGGAGGCCTCTGTTTCTAAAGAAAAATGGGATTGAATAGTGCTTTATGTACATTGCATTCTTATCCTTTTATAGCCATGTGAGGTGGATACTTTATTATCTACATTTTACAGATTAAAAAATGTGAACAAGGAAGGCTGTGCTCAGAGACGCAGGGCTAAGTGGTAGGGTGGGATTGGAGCCCAGGGGTCACGGTGACACTGCTGTCCCCTGGCCATCACTGACTGCTGCTGTTGAACTCCAGTTTTACATAGACCCTTACAAGCTGCTCCCACTGCAGAGGTTTCTACCTCGGCCTCCGGGTGAGAAAGGACCTCCAAGAGGTGGTGGCCGGGGAGGCCGAGGAGGAGGCCGAGGAGCGGGCCGAGGCGGAGGAGGCAGAGGTGGCGGGAGAGGAGGTAAGTTACAGAGACTGGGAGGTTCCAGAGCCCTGGCTGACTCGGGGAGTGCAGTTTGCTTTTGTGTGGAGAAAAGTTTTATATTTATTTTTTTAGTAATCATGCTTTATTCCATTAACCTGAAAAGAGGCTAACAAAGTCTGTTTGACTTTGAGGGATTTCAGCTCTTGAGTTACGTTGATTAGTCTTAAACAGCACAGCCCTTCATTGCCTAATGAATGATAGATCTTTCTAAGCAGTGCCTCATCAGGCCATCGAGTTTTGTGGCTAGAGTGTGCTAACTCGAAGTAGAAAGCGCACTCAAATGCAGTGAGGATTAAGTGCAGAACCGGTAACTAGTTGACAGTTCCATTGTCGAGTACCATGAGCTGTACAGAATCGTGTGGTACACTTCTGGCTGGCGCTGCAGCAGGTGTGTCCACACCAGCATCAAGGCACATGCGTGAGTGACACAGTGCTCTGCAGAGTCGTTAGGCGGTGAAGGTCCCAGATAGCACACTTTGTGAGGTCGCTGTCTTAGACAAGGCCCTGCATTGACCGCAACGTTGTGCACTCCGTGACTATCTGAGGTCATCCTGACTGAAGTTTAGTTTCTCCCTTAGTTGTCATTGAGTATGGATCATATGCTAAGAGCTGGCCTTACAGTCTCTTAGTATCCTTTTTGTTTTTTAGTACCAGCAAGGCTTTTCAAGTTAGGTGAGATCCTTATTTTAGGGGTAAGGGATTGCAGTTGCACAGAAGTTGATTTACCATAATGGACATAATCAGACAATCCTGGGGTAGCCCAGAGCGAAAACCCATGTAATCTGATGTGTGCCAGGAACTATTAGCAATACGACAGTTCCTCCTCCTCCTACACCTACGAGACCAGACCAAAACGGAAAATGCTTTCGGTCAGAATCAGAATCAGTCAGAATCAGGGCCCTGAGCTTCCAGTGTCACAGCTGACCTGCATGGTCCGCTGTAGAGGAGCCGTGAAAATGCCGAGGCCCGTCAGCGCGTGAGCTCAGCTGTGGTCCTGTGCAGCTCAGGAAGACTTACGCACGACAGGCACTCACATCTGCCACCCCTGGGTCTTGGGATTAAAAAGCTTCGGTCCAATCAGAACTACCCTTGGTTCACTTAAAAGTGTTTACCTTAGAAGCCAGGGTAACCGGATATCTGAGAACAGGGCTGCATCAGACTTGACAGTAAGCACTCCTGTTGGTCAAAAGGGAATACTCTTAAAGGCTGTTCACTGCCGAGTTGGAAACTGCTACAGTTGCTCCGTTTTTATCCTTTAAAGTCTCTGTACGATAATATAAATTAATCTGTATTCTTTCCAGGAATAGTATTATCTGTAGGCTTATCGGGGCGTGAGAGGCTGCAGTTACTTAATAAATACTTACTTTTTAGGTGGATTTAGAGGTGGAAGAGGAGGTGGAGGCTTCAGAGGAGGAAGAGGAGGTGGATTTCGAGGTTCGAGAAAAATTTAAATGATTGCATGTTCATGACGAGCATTATCTGCCAGTTCTCTTTATTTGTGTTCATTTCTCCTGCCAGCAGGTATACAGAACACTGTGCTTTGCTTTGGCCTAATTTCTAGCTTTAATTTATATGACTCATGCTTTTCCCTTTTAATTTTTTCACCTTCTTTTAGATTTTGCTGTGTTACTAACTTGAAAATTAGGCGGTGCATATGACTAACAGTGAAATTGGGCAAGGTCAGCTCACTAAGTCTCGGGGGAGCTAATGCCGATCTGAAGCCCAGTCTGGGTGACAGTAATCTTGCAGGTAAGTCCCTTTTCTCTTCCATCTAACCCTTTAATTTTCTCCTGATCAGGGAGAGGACATTAGCTAGGACAAACCTCTCCAGCTGATTGTGCTTGACCTGCACGGTCTGCTTCCGCGGTGTGCACCGCGCCTCCGTGATGTGGCCGCCCAGCGACAGCGACCGGAAGCGTCAGCGCCATGCAAGTGGGACCCCCAGGAAGTCGCCTCCGCCCGGAAAGGGCTTGAGCAAGGCTGATGCTCTGTACCGTGCCTGACACCCTGTGGGTGCTTGATACACGGGCAGGAGCTGTCACTGGAATCATGTTTCAGTTTTTAAAATAAATTGCTTTATTCCTTTAAGCTATTCAGAGTGTATTTATTGAACCAAAGCTATTTTTGAAATTGGGAGGAGCAGCCAACATTTAACCCAGTGAATTACCGACAGAAAAAAGAAAAGGAGTTGTTTATACACATTGCTGCTGTACTGTAAAAGCAGGCTGCTGGAGAGGCAAAATGTTTACCTTTTGTGTGTGAGACCATTAGTGCCCTTTTGTGTTTTAGTACTTAGAGTAAAGCAGTTTCTCTAATTGGAATTAATTGATGTAAAATTATGAATCTATTAAAATTTAAGTGGCTCTATTCAAGGGAGAACTGTATATAGTTCAAGAAATTTCTGAAGAAATGTTTTTCTCATTCACCATAGGTTACTGAAAGTTCAACTGAATTCTCTTTTTTTTTTAAACAAAGATTTAAGATGAGGGCCAGGGATTTAGCTCAGTGGTTCCACCACCTGCCTTGAAAGCTCAAGGACCCCAGTTGGATCCCTGGTCCAGAAAAAAAGATTTAAGATGTTTTTTGCCCTAAGCGAACTTTAATGGCCTAGTCCAGGTTCAGACTCCTAGATGGGGTTGTCACAAATGGAACTGGGTTAGTGTAGTGTCGAAAAATAACCACGATAGAATACTGTGACACAGGACCCTTTACCAACTGCCTTTGTTTTTTCCCTCTTGTTATTTCTCAGAATTTACTGTTAAGTTTCCTGGCATGAGTGGTTAACTCTTCAGTGCCCATTTGAGAAGCATAAAATCTTGCATACATTCCTATTTTGAGTTTTAACCTTTTAGTCAAATTCCAACAAGATAACTATATAGGCCATAAATGTATGTGATAAATGTGTTGAAAATTACATTTTCATGAGAAGAGATGGTTGTGCTTTTACACTTAAAAGATACCTCTAAGAATCCTTGGGGTGAGATTTTCAGTACTGGCACCAAGGTTTTTACTCTTGGTTTGTAAATGGTGCTAGCACCAGAGGGGCAATGATGTTCAAATTGTGAGTAGTGCAAATTGTTACAGTTTATTCAGCATCAGAAACATCTAAAATGTATAGATGAGTACACAAACCACTTGAAGAATTCACGTTTACCCTAAGTGAGGACCACTGACCATTTTCAAGTGTTTTATTCTAATTCCAAATATTTTTCCTTTGTTGTATAATTCTGGGTTCGGGCATTTCATTTTGAGTCAAATTCATGTATTTATGAGCCTAAGTTAATGAGTAGTGTAATGATCCTTGAGTTTCATTGTAAAAGTTTGAAGATCACATTTTATACTTCTTGAGTTAATAACTTTCTGATTGCATTCATGGTTAAAATGTACTTGATGGCTACATAAGAAGTAGTTTAATGGGAACAAACGTGTGTCCTGGTTCCCCTGGAATCTTGGGAAGGGAAGACTGATGTGAGGCTGGTATAGGAAGGGTGAGTGAGGTGTACGTGTTTAGAGTTGGGTTTCTCAGTACCATAGCTGTCCTGTTTCACATGTGAAGAAGTATGTTAGTGGCCTTCCACTCGAGTGTAAACCTCATCTGTGGCACCTTTGGGATATTTTTTATTTTTTCAATTCTTGTAAGTAGAAGTATTTATTTTTGGAAAGTTGGGAATGGTGGTTATAACTAGCTGTAATCTAAAAGGGAGCATGAACCAAAGCAAATTTTAAAAAATTCACGTTTTTTTAAAAAATTTGCATAGTGGGGGAGAAAAGATGTAAAACCTAACTACCCGTAGGCTTTTAAAAGAGACTTCCTGTGTTTATTGCTTTAGAGTTACTGAGCATGTATTTATGCTGTGGAACAGTGATGAGGTTGCCTGGCATAGGCACTCTTCAGTTTTACTTTATGAAAGTTTGAGTCCTGAAAAAAAAAGTAGGAGTCCTGGTGGCTCTAGTGTTGGGGACAGATCACTCACTGTGTCCATCTTGAGTTTATGTGGAGATGAGGGAACTAGGGCTAAAGGGTTACCTGGGGCTCCTCCGGCAGCATTTAGTTATAAAGTTAACCTGGTCCATGGGCAGACGCAGCCTTCTTGTGGTTCTGCTAGGTGCTCGGAATATTTGGTGTGTAAGCTTTTCTCTGAAGTTTTACTGATTTTAAGATGTTTGAGAAGAATCAGATTTTAATGATGTTACATACATAGCATAAATGGAAAAAAGGGTAGCGAGGGTACCTTGCCATACTAAAAAGTCATGTTTATATATTAATTATGACCCACTTTTCAGGTTACCATGTGTTGATTCAGAATATTAGAATGCTGTGGACTTTATAAGATGAATGAGTGCAGATACTTGGCTGATAAGTTCACTTATTAAATCATTCGCTTGTGTGCATATCAAAATGTAGAGTAAGTGAACGGAGGTAGATAGTGGAGTAGAGTGTGGTATATCCATACTGTACTATGAAATATACAGGTATTAGAAACACTCCCACCTCCTCTAGGAATGTTTGTATGAATGTACATTTACATTGGGAAAGGCAGTGAAAAGCAAGTACATCAGTGTTGGTACCTTCAGAGGAGTGAGGCTGGAAAGTGTGGGGAGCTGCTACTCTTTATCTCTGTATTATTAAGAAAAAATTTGAGGGACCTGTAATGAAAAGCTCCCAGGGCCAACAGAAAACAGGATCCAAAGGGCCAACAGAGTGGACTAAGTCTGGTTCTTAACCCCAGGCAGAACTGAGTTGGGTCAGCGCCTACGCCAGTGTTCTGGGTTTGTTTGTTGATGAAGCAGTGTGTGTGTGCTCAGTAATCTGCCTTCATGCAAGACCAAGGCCCAAGCTGGGGAAAATGTCCTCAGTGTGTCTTTGTTTTGTTAATAAGCTTTTCCTCTGCCCCGGGAATTAACACTCTTTCCACTTTGGCCCAATTAGATCTAAGGCAGGGCCTCTCTGAAAAGGCCATTCTTTGAGGTCTCTGAGTGGAAGTGATTGGTTCTTAAAAAGGTTCCTGATTATTGAAGGCTTATTGTGAAGGCTGCCACAGTACTTCACCCTCCAAAATGCTAAGGGATAGTTTTGGTAACGGTTCAGACTCTAAAAATGAGGACGGCTCGGTCTTCTCGCAGACGGAACACAACATCGTGGCGTTGTACCTCATTCTGGCAGGTAGGCTCTGCCCGGTCAGGTCAGGAAGCGGGGGCTTGGCGGAGGCAGCGGGGCTCTGGAGAGTGAGGAGCCCCGGCCCCTAACTGCGCCCAGAGAGCAGAGAAGAAGAGCGTGGAGTGAGAGAAGGAAAGGGCAGTGCTGGTGCTTGTTGCCCGAGAGTGTGATGAACCCGAGCACTGATGTGGGGCCGTGAAGTCTTTTTCTAAAATAGATTGCTTTTACTTTTAATAAAAGCAAACCATATGTCTATTCCATTGTCAAACCTTGGAGAAGAGCAGTGTGTACGATGGCAAAAGTGTGTTTTTACATCATTTGGTTTTCTCATACATAATTTTCACAGCTTTTGTCTTTGCTGGAGGGATCTAAAGACTGAACGATTCTGAATTAAAGTCCCCAGAGGAGCGGAGTGTTGTCCCCGAGGACAGTTTGAACATTCAGAATGTTCCTTCTAGAGACTCTTGAGCTTTGGTTTTTGTCTCGGTATGTTTGGAGTTGCGAGTGACTTCCTTCGCCTTTCTGTTCTCTTGAATAAGTCTCCTAGCACGGTTGCTGTGAGGAGCAGATGCTCTTACGTGCTGTGCGGTGATGAACCACACTGCAGTGATGAAATACTTCTCTGCATTTCTGATAAATTTCGCTTTGCTGCTGAAAAGGGTCCGTTAGAGAAAAGAATGGGGTCGGGGAGTGGTGGAAAGGCCTTTCCTTTTCTCTAAGGTCTCCTCCTGCTTTCCTCGCACTTTTCATTTGGTGGTGAGAAGTAATAGGTTAGGGTGAATTTGGAAATCTGAAGTCAATTATTATGGATGAATTATAAAATGAAATGAGAGGAAGGGACAGAGACAGACCATGTAGGAGGCCAGCGCTGTGATCCTGAGGCGGGAGGAAGGGGAAGGGGAGGCTGCACGGGACAGAAGGTAGCAGACTCACTTAAGAGCTAGGAGGAAGGGCAGGCACTCAGAGGTCAGGCCGGGGAGAAGGAGGAGACGGAGCTTCCAGGGCTGGAGTGGGATGGTGGTGCTGCTCACCAACAGGAGCGCACCGGGGAAGGCGCAGTTCGGGGCAGGGGAAACATCTCCGCTCAGTTACACGCGGCCAGTTACAGTCCAGACAAAGCTTTGAGTTTGTGACACCCATCTTGGAAATAAAGAATCATTCAGAAGAGCATTCAGTGAGAAAAGAACAGGTCTAGGACCCAAAGTTGGGAAAAGACATAGTTAATCAGGTAAGAGTAAAGAGAGGTCAAGGCCACGAAGGCTCTGCTACTGAGACTGGAGTGAAACCACACAAACTGCGGGGCAACATCTCCCAAGAAGGAGTGGACTAACGTCAGGTGCCACCTAGAATTCCACTGACTGCAAGAAGAGACTTAACCAAGACCTAACTGGTAAGTGAAGTCAGTCTGGTGATAGAAGACACCAGCAACTAGGGAAATAGAATGTGTCAGACAGCCACAGAGAGAATAAGGGCTGAAGTTTGTGATGCCCTGTGATACCCAAGGACCCCCCAACTTCTCTCAACTTCTGTTACTTTTCGGATGGTTTACTTGGAAGGCAGCAATTTACTACTCTGTACTTTCTGACCTGTAAAATCATCACACTTGTAGCTAGTCTAGGGAGATTTTTTCATTTTTATCAGTATTGTACAGAGGCTACAGTGATAGATGCTAAACACAAGGCCAAAGAACATCAATGTTGCTATTGTTGTGTGTTGTGTTTGAAGAATAACAAGCTTAATTCTGAGTTTTAGTGATGATCCATTTATTAAATAAATTTGCTACCTGTCACATACTCAAAGGATGTAGAATTAATTAGGAGCCTAAAATCTACACAAGAAGACTAGGAATATACACTAAGGCTAAGTATGCTATAATAAAGTTCAGGGTGTTTAGGAGGAGAGTGCCCAGCACTGTGGGGAGAAGACTTTGGGGCTGGTTGGGCTCAGACTGCACTTTGACGGACAGCTGGCTTTTGGACACAGGAAAGGAGAGAAGATTTCAAGTGGGAAAGCTACGGGCCAAGATGTACAACAAGCATGGTGCACTTGATGAGTGACTAGCATGGACGGCTTGTTTGACAAGCGTGGTGCCTCCAGAGGGTGACTGCAGACTGAGACAAAGAGCTTGGGTGGAACATTTGAGTTTTAATCCCACAGGCGGTGCAGAGAGCAGAAGCTCTGAGAAGATCCGTGGTTAATTCTTTGTACAAGCTATGGACAGGAGTTCCGTACAACATGGAGGGGAACACAGAGAGGAGAACAGGAGCCAGAAAAGATGCATGGAGTAGGATGCTAAGCTGGAAGTTTGAAGTTCTTACTTAGCCGATGCTTTTGTGTTGGTGTTTGCAGACCTCCCTTCTCTCTAGTCCTCTTTCTGGGAAGCCCAACTCTGTTCCTGATTGATGCACACCCTTTGTCACTAGGAGGATGGTTGTAGTTCGATCCTCTGCTGAAATCCATTCCTGTCTCGCCCTTACCCTTAGGACTTAGGATGGATGTGGAAAACTCTTGCATCCTTTGCGGCAGTTAGGGGATGTTGACCTGATTAACATGCGCAACACAGCATTTCTTACTGTAAATTAATACACTGACATTTTGGTTAACAAGTTTAGACATCACTCTCCCTGAGTCCCCAACTGAGGGGTAACATGAGCCCTAAACTGCAGGTCTAAGGCAGATCCCAGTGTGGAAAGGGGTAGCGCGGTGTCCAAACCCAGTGGACCAAAAAGCTGGTGGGGCTTCCTTCTGGACAGTCAAATCTCGCAGCATTCTTAGCTATGGGTGTGTGTTGGACGAAGAATTCAGATGTGGACACGGTGACCAGGATCAGGTAAAATACTGGAACCATCACACGATCTTACTCAGGGTCGACGCTTAGTAATGTGTGACAGCAGAGAGTTGAAGAGGGATAAACAGTGAAGCCAGAGCAGGTGTCAGGGCTGGAGATAGCAACCGAAGTGCTGTTAAGACAGAACAAGAGGTGAAGCTTGGGAAAGGAAACCCCAGGAGAAGCAAAAGCTTCAGGCTTCAGCAAAGAAGAATTTAAATTACCCAGAGTGAGGGTGTATTGACTGTATCCGCACCCTAAAAATCCTTTGGAATAACATGAAAGCCAGGGAGGAATTCAGGGTGGTGGCCCAGCAGTAATAACCTTCAAGCCAGTCTTCTGTGCCGACTTGTGCAACCAGCAGATTCCTTCTGTTTCAATTTTACTGCTTCTTTCTTAGACAAAGCTATGAAGATATTACAAACAGGTGTAAGGACAAGAGGAACTCTTCAAACAAGTGAACTAAAATGTATTTGCTACATTTTTGAAGGGGCTTAAATATTTCATTGTGATTCTGCTTTCAAGCATTCAAATTAAAGACATTAAGCGCATGACATTGTTGTCTGTGTTCTCAGGCCTGATAAGTGTTCTCAGCAACATAATTGTCCTGGGCATCTTCGTTAAGTACAAGGAACTTCGGACACCGACGAATGCGATTATTGTGAACCTGGCTTTGACGGACATCGGGGTCAGCAGCATTGGCTACCCCATGTCTGCTGCTTCAGACCTGCATGGAGGTTGGAAATTTGGATACGCAGGCTGTCAGGTACTGGAGAGCTTTGGAACAAAAGCAAAGTAAGGTAGAACAAGGAGGTATAAATTTAAATGTCTTTTAAAGTCCCAAGAACTCACATCAAATAAGACATTGTAGGGACCGAGGATACATTCTTTAAAGAGAAATTAAGTCACTAATCACCATTATGTTTTCAAAATTCCCCCAACCCAAAGGAAAAAGCAGACAACCAGCATTCAACTAAATAGGAGTTGGTCTGCATATTCAAATAAAATTTGCATAATGTAAAAATTTTAAAAACCACCTTTCATTTCAAACAATAAAATATTGGTGACAAGTCCTGCATGAGAATGATTATTAAATATACTTACTGTTACTTTTACTAAGGAGGAAATGAATTAATATTAACTTACATGAGGGTAGCAGGCAAATATGGCAGTTGGTCTTATAGTTTACTAAAAATTATAAAGAATAAATTCAGAATAACAAAAAGCACTCGATGCCTATCTATGCACCAACATCTATGTACCAACCAGTTTTGGGAAATCTTGATGTTTTTCAATCTGTGCTTCACGTTGTTTTTCTTTTAAAAGATAGAAAATGTCATAACCAGTCATCTTCCCTTTCCTCTCATGAATGTTTTTTATCATGTTTTATATGCACAAGCCAGATATTGTCCGATTATTTCAAACTGTGTGTAAATGGCATCATACTGCTGGCATTACGCAGTTTCCTTTCAGTGTTAGTTAATCTGTTTTGGAAATTTATCCATGGGATTGTTGTGGCTGATAATCAATTATTTTAGTATTCTAGCCCCATATAATTTTTAATTTTCCTGTTAGCCAGCATTTGGTCCTCATTTTTTTTTCCACAGAGGAGGCTTCAATAAATATTCTTATGCCTGGAGAACTCTACAATGTCAGGCTTTCTCGAGATGTGTTGGTTGGGGGAGGCTGGGTAGTAGAGAATGTTTGTCTTCAATTTAATTCGACATGGCCAGGGTGCGTCCAAGACGGTTGTTCAGTTATGAGAACTTCCATTATCCCACATTTGCCCTGACACTCAGAAGATTAGACTTAAATTTTCAGAATGTTTACAAGAGCGGAATGATGTAACTTTTACTTCTTCGAATGCTTATGATGGTTGTGTGTCTTCTGTTGTCCACATTCCCATGTGGCGGGCTTCTACGCGAGGCCCGTTCGTCTGTCCACTTTTCTGTTGAGTTGTCGTTGGTAAACTACCTCTTGGGAATACCAGAGAACACTCTTTTGTTGGCTTTTCTGCATTTTACCCTAATTTATGGCTCATTTTGCACTTTGTTTATAGAATATATTGTGCAGAAATTTCGCTTTAGGTCTTGAAATCTAAAAATTTAATTAATGCAACCTGAAGACACTTTCTATAAGTACAACTGATGGTGGCACAATTTGACAATGGAAGTTGTATTTTAAAATAGTAACATAAAAACTTTAATATATTTGAAATATAGTCAAAGAATGAGACAAAAACTTCAATGTTTTGGGGAGGGCCTCTACACCACGATTCTTTCCCTTTCTGATTTCCAGGTTTATGCCGGGCTGAACATCTTTTTCGGAATGGTGAGCATTGGGCTGCTCATGGTTGTAGCTGTGGATCGCTACCTGACCATCTGCCGGCCTGACGTAGGTGCGGCACCTTCCTCTGTTTTCTCACTAAAGCCAGTTATTGCCTCATGGAACTCAACATACTTCTGCTTCAAAATATAAACATGTGGATTGTAATCAGGGTCGGACTTTTTTTTTTTTTTTTTTTTTTTT